GAGTGAATGTGAGAATCATCTTGGCTTACATAACGCGTAGTGAATGAATCCTAGAAAATGATCTCGGGAATGTTCTCTCGTCCATTTTCCTTTACGTGAATTCTTTGATATTAAATATATTTCAGAATGTGAAACTCGTAAATGCGGAGCCTTAAATAGATTAATTGTGTCCGCGAAAGGGTAAACTGATACGCTTCCAGCAGAGGGCAAGAGCGGCCACGTCGCCCCCCCCCCCCCCCCTGCGCTGTGGGGCGTCCGAAAGCAGAAAGGCGCCTGCGCTCGCCCCTTCGCCGAACTCGGAACCGTTCGTCAAAATGAAACTCGGTTCGCGCGACTGTACAAGGATTTAATTAATCGTGCACTTGGCGTTAATCACCTGTTCACGGCTTCATCCAATCAGACGCTTCAGCGTCCCCATCGTGACGTCACTGTATCGAAATAGAAGCTCCGGATTGGATAAAAGCGCATTGCTTATTTAAGTCAAGTGCACGACTAAAAAATCTCGTACTATAATGATTTGCATTCGTGGATTCAATATTTCAAGTACTCTTGAAGTTGGCAACGCGGGACATCTACGATTCACTAAGAGCTTCACTACTTCACGTCATCTCTTTTATTAGATTAGTTCCCGATACGAATTACACGAATGGGACAATTATTTATCAATAAAAGTAATGTGAAGAGAGTGGCCAAACTCAGGTTGCTAGTTGGTCCCACCTGAGTGCCACTTCAACTTTTCAGTGGCCTTCTATGTGTCCTTGTGTCGTTCGTTATCTCAATATTTCCAAGAAGCCTGTCTTCAAATTATTAAAACATGTTTCTTAATGTGTAACATTTCGTAGTTTAAACCATGCCATGATTCCGGCGCTCACTTCGAACTCGGCGCAATATGGCTAGGATACGTAAATCAGCACCAATTGCACAGCAGCTGCAGTCATCGATAGTCAACACCACACGGGCGACTTCAGGTTCAAATCTCCAGGTTTAGCAAGGCACGTCCACGTCCGGCGCGGAACACTGGCGCCCGAAAGGCATGATTTTTTTTCATGATATCGAAATGCAAGGGAATTAATACGCCATAGAGATATTCTTTGAAATATTTTTGGGTTTAGAGAAATTTCCTTATCTTCGGTTTTTTGAGGTGCACGGCCCGCGCCGCTATTTCCAGGCGGTGACGCGCGGACGCGGGCAAGGGCGCGGGCGGGGGCGAGAGCGCGGGCGAGCGCGAGGGCGCGGGCGCGGGCGAGGGCGAGGGCGAGGGCGAGGGCGAGGGCGAGGGCGAGGGCGAGGGCGAGGGCGAGAGCGAGGGCGCCTGAACCGCGCTCTGGAATGCGGGGCCCGCCGCAGCCTCGCCGGGCCGCCACGGGGCAGCGCGCGCGGCGCAGGTGCGGCCACGGCACGTGACACCAGGCCCTTCCAGCCAGCACGTGCCCCCTCTGTTGCGTCTTATTCTGCGAGGGGATATTTTTATATTTTATGCCCCACATGCTGTACAGATATCAAACGCTTCATCACCTAAAAGGACGTCACCGGAGTCGGCGAAAATAAATGCCGGTCGGCTTTTCGTTCTGAGACGTCACGTATGTACATCATTAAAAGAATTCAGATAAAAATAATAAATTTACGAATTATTTCTTAAATAACTCGTAGCACTCATGCCTGTGTAGTTCTGTGCCATTCATATCCAAGTGCGTCACGGAAGAACTTTGTCTTCACGTAAGTCAAACACTCATTTCTGTCGGCATACCATTCCCGTATTGGAATTCCGTTATTTTTCGACGCGAAGATTTGCGACTCGTTTAATGACCTCCGGATGCGAAATAATTCTCCCTAGGGCTCTCCGGAACCCCTCCGAGCTGTCACGCAGTCGACCGCCTTTGTCTGAGACGCCTGTCTGCGACGCAGCGCGGTTCGTTGCTGCGTTACGGTGCCATCGCGGGGACGAGAAAACCGCCCCCAATTGCGCCTGTCCCAATTTTACTGCAGCCGCTTTTCGAGATTCACGCGTGCTTAACGGCGTATTAGGTGGTTGTGGATTTACGGAATTCACGCAATGAAGACACTTGAGAAGAAATCCGACATGTAATAAAGAAATTATGATTACCACACTATAGTTCGAAGCAAAATGTTGACAATCACAAAACAGAAAATAAAAATGGAAGACTTTATCAATATTGCAAGGAGAGGCTACTGTTCAGTTTACTCCAACACGCAAACGCACGCTTTGACACTAATATCTGCCGAGATAGCAGTAAGCACACAAGTAAAGTAAAGTGAAGTGAAGTGAAGTGAAGTGGAGATGGCGCATAGCCACGCCATGCCCTTCACAGGATCCGATCGCCAACTGTTCTCGCGGCTTGCGCTCCGCGCCGCCGCCGTCGCGCATGCGCACACACGCAAATGGTCGCCCCGAACGCAATCTGCGTCTGCGCCCTAACTTCCAAGCGTTCAGCGGACGAAATGCACAGAGTCGTGACACCCTCCAAATGAAGGGGATTCAGCCCACCTCTCATTGTGCTCACGTGCGTGTCGAGTCAATACGTCATTTCTGCGCAGAATGGGGTAATACAGTTGAATTAAATTAGTATGGGTTGTTTTGCGCCATAAATCATTTTCTTACAATTGTGTAACTAAATAATTCCTTCTTAACCAAAAACTATTATACACGATACTATCGCCTCTTATTGCAACAACCGCCTTCTCCTTTACGCGCTGACTAAAGAATGAGAAAAAAAATCTTAATTAAATACCCAACATATCAAATGAAACCGCGACCTTCATGACACATCCTTGAACAGCGTAAAATGGCACTGAAGAAAGAAAGCCGAAGAACCAACTCAAATGCCACCATCAAATCAAGCCATAGGGCGAAGTTCTTAGTTTGACTCAGAATGCAAACATCTACCTGTGTGTGAAGTTAGGCGTAACGCATAACGCGTGGCCCAGGCAGTAAGTTCTTATTTTCTTCCGTTCGGGCCCTCGCTTACTGCACTGCGAGTTATATCCCGCAATGGAGCGTTGGCTGGTGCTTAAGAACGAAGGCAGGGAATGGGTTATAACTGTAACCTTTGAACACGATCGCGACAAAAGACGGAGTAACGGTTTGAAAACAAAGGCGAAGCCAGGGAGGTTCCTACAATCCCCCCTGGTGTAATAAACATATCACACATAAGAATGATGCATATGACTTAAGATAATGAACACTAAACTCCACACGAATTTATGTTCTGAAGGTGAAGAAAAATCACGTGGTAAAAAGTTTGTGAACTTCAGCATGCGACATCACTGACGAACACAAGTCAATTACTGCAATAAAATTGCGTTATTCTTAGAATCTGTTGTGTATTAAATTACAATATTTATTAATGCAATAAAATTCTTAGAAATGTCTTTTTACATAAAAATATTTCAAACAATAATTAAAAATTTTAAAGCTGGCTTTAGGATAGTCTGTAAGTTAGCTTTTTCTGAAATCTTGCAAAAACATTTGCTTGATAATTTATTAGTACGTCCTTGACAATTCGGTAGAAAAATGTATTAATATATAGGGAAAATATATACGTCCTCTCCCTTTTAACTGAAGGAATAAAAGGTACCATTACTTCCGAAGAGCGCCCCGCAACCGCGAATCCCGCCAACAAATTGCAAGGAGCACCAATCGAAAAGAAATGGCACTGTACCACTGCACTACGCTCAGCACAAGCCAAAGGTCAAAGGCGTGCAGCCCTTTCGCACAGCCCCCGCGCGGAGGAGGGCAGACGCGGGCCAGGCAGGTGCGCGCGCGGCAAAAAGCAAAAAAGCAGCGGCAGCAGCAGCCACTGCAAGCAGGCCCCGAGGAAGAAGGCGCACTTCGCTGGGTGGCCCCGCCCCGCCCCGCCCCCGCCGCCGTTCAGACGTCACGCGCTTTCCAGCAGATCTTTCACAATTAAAGTTTCTCTGAATTCTCGTCACGGTGTAAATATAAAACAGTTACCTTGGGCCCCTGCACGGGCGAGCAGGCGAGCTCCAAGCAGTGTTGCCAACGGCTCTAACTAGATGGAATGTCATAGTTGGAATATTGTCCTTGCTTTGTTAATTAGCATTACGCGTGAAATTGCCTCTTCACAAAAACTTTTAGTTTTTATTTGCATTCAACAGGTTGTAACGTTGGAGATAATAACGAGAAAATTTTACGGAATGTAATTTTATCACAATTTTCAAAACGCTTCATATAATGTTGATGTATGTCGGACAGAAGCTTATGAATTAAAAGCAATGCTTCTTTATCGTCTCATACGCTTTTTCTGGACAAAGTAATATAAAAAGTAAACATGCATATACTTTTACGTGACTTTGATTATTTTTTATTTTCTTTTTCATTCAGTACATCAAATGATTGTTCTTTGTATGTGCTTCGCTGCCTTCCAATATCGCAAACATTTATTCAAACGAATTATATTCTAAGATTGCACTTCTTGAACTGTTTGATATGATTGTAGTGTTTGAAAACACCGAAAATACAACTAATTGAAACTTGGTAATCCTTTACTGAAGCCGCTTAATGTTCAATTTTTTAACACAGCACTGTTTGAGAGAAGATCAAATTGAAGATTTGATGGGAGATTTTGACCGAGATTTGCAAATGTTATACGATTGCTGTGTGATCAACGAAGTAACGTTATTCCGAAAAATCGAACTATATATTAAGAAAAACAAGAGTTTTTCTCTCTATTTTGGATTAAGATTGTTTTGAAACTTTGTACCCGTATTTGCATAAAATATACATTCGATTGAATTTCTCCACACTTGTGGAGTTTGGAGAGGCCGGTCTCTTATTCAATCAGGAGCATCTATTATTGAAAATTGAATCTCCCGATCGGATAGCAGTGCCCTCTCTTCTAATTCGTGGAGTGTAGCGGAAGTTTAATCAGAGAATAGCAAGCTTCCATGTTCATCAAAAAAAGCTTAGAATTCCATGCCAGCTACGTAAACACTGTTCTGAAAACAGCGGAATAACATACTTAGAGTTCGCAAGAGGGGCGTGGGGCGGTTCGCGCCTCGCATCCGCGTCGACAGAGCGCTCTGGCGGCGGCGGCGGCGGCAGCGTCAACGGCGGCGCCGGCGCCGGCGCCGGCGCCAGCGGCAGCGTGCTCGCGAGGGCGGCGGCGGCGGCGGCAGCTGGGGCGGCGGCGGGGCGGGGTGGGACGAAGCGGCGGAGCAGGGCGGGGAGTTTTCGAATCAGCATCCGCCTCCACCTCTCCCTCCTCCTCCTCGCCCCCTCCTGCGCCGGCACAAGCGCTGCCGTGTCACTTTCTAACCTCGCTTCTTCATTACAAACACCCCAGATTCGCGACTCGGTCTTCAGAGCATGCGGGAGATGGAAGTGCGCGCTGGGCTTCTCCAGAACTTCCATAACTAAAAAAACAGAAAAAAGAAAAGAAATATGCTGCGTTTGCGATGTTTGTCAGGGGAGGGGAGGGGGTGCGTGCGCTGAGATGCAATGGTAATGAACGAGCGCAGTGAAATATGGACACAAAAGCGTTGAATTAAAAACACAAGAAATTATCTCCATGCTGTGCGACGGTTCGGTTCTAGTAAGTGAAGGGAATGTGGGAGCGAGAGTAAATTCCTAATAAGTTGAGAAACTTCAAACCGTTAGACGAGGAACAATGGCTCTCGCTTAGTTGGGCATTTTTTACTGTTTCTTAACTCCGAATTCCAGTCAAACGGAAGCTTGTAGTTCTGCTCTCCAAAAAATACGATGAAATATTCGGGTAAATATAATACATAATAGAAAGTCAGTTTTAAAACTAAAATATAAATGAGCACGCAGGTGGCATACAGAGTGCTTGGGAAACAAAACAAAATCACGAATGGAAGATTGACCTCAGCGAGACACTGCTATGACAACACGCACACCGCCTGCTCCCGAAGCCCACTGTGACTCCCTCCTGTGGACGTTGCGCACAGGGTTATTGGTTCTACGTAAAGGAACACAATTTTTAAAAAGTATAAAGTGTGCTTCATATGTAGTAGATTCTCCGCGGTATTGATCTCCTGTCCCTGACCTTACCGCCCAGTCTGAGAACGGGGTAGAATACTTCGGAACACAGAAATGCAACAACGATCGATTAAAAATAACTGAAATACTACGGAAAATTTATAACAAATCGGTGATCTCGAAAGATTTTGGGTCATTTTCCAATCTCCTCGCAGTTGTAAGCTGTCGACAGACTGCATGCTTTAATAATGTAACACAACCGAGTATCAGGATGACACGTTTCTTCATACAAACGCGAATGCAATTCACAATCAGGCAGTTTGAATTTTTGCGCACCGCCGTAAATAGCATTAACTCGGCTACTCGTACACTAACCAGCTCCACGAAAGCTCATGTTTTATGTAACGTCCGTGACGCAAAGAAAGGGCTGCGAACGCACGTTCGCATAATCGTCCGGCGCGAGTTTTTAAGGAGGGCGCTATATTTATCCGCGCGAACAGCACGCGGCGCTAATAATAGCTCCGGGATTAGGCGACGCGCGCGCTCCTTGCGGCGGCGGCATGCACTTTCCCTCCGCATGTGGAGCTACAGCAACCACCCTCGCGCCCACCGATTGCAGACTGTCGTGGAATACTTCGTGAAGTAGGACTGTCCACTGGCCTGGCCACGCGCTCACGCACAGACAGTACGATTCGGAACAACGTGTGCTATTTATTGGAGGATGGTTGCTACGGGACCATTGGACGTACTAGAGAGAGATCCGGCAATGATCCTAGTTCTATAATCCAAAATATTAATATAATTAACAAATTTTATACACAAAATAATTAGATATTTAATCCAAATAATTTTGAATTGTATAATACAAATTGCACTAAAAACTCAGTAACACCAAACCCTAAAGCAAAAGTTGTAATGAATAACTACCGAATGAAATAATAAAATTAATAAACACTAAAAATAAGTTAATACTTTGGGCCCACATAAGAACACAGAACACCGGCACTGAAAAAAAGTCTTCGAAAATCTCACAAAAATAAATTTAAAACTTTTAAAAACACATTTTTGCGCCACCAAAGCAATTCCCATAGGAAAATTCGGATTTACTGAACTCATCGCCACACACCATTTATTTTGCATATCAGAGCACATATACACACCGCCTTTCAAAGAAAACATCTAACTAGATGTTGACGGTCGGGCGGACACAGGGTACCCGATTCCTACGAACATAAGGATTAATAAGCTTTATATTAGTTGTGAACTGGCGATATGTTCTTAACGTTAACATTTTGGTTTACGGCACGGAAATCGAGAGCGAAAATTGTTTGTCACGAACTTCGCACAATGTAAGAACACGATATGCGTTTCATCACGAACATCATTCCAAATTAATTTTGATTACCCTTTGAAGGAGTTATTTCTCTTGTGATGGTCATTTTTCGGAACATTATCAGAATGTTTGTAGATAACCCGAAGATAATTATTGAAGATAAACGACTACATGTCTGTAATTCTTCGAAATATACCCCAGAAAAATAACTTTGTTCGCTACCGATAAGAAAATGCTTTCTTGGATGTGCATCACTTCCTTTCATCGTGAACAAGGGAAGCCGCACGCCACAGCCCCCGCAATCGGGCACTCGACGCAGGGGAAAC